GCTGAACCGATACAAAGCCCAAGTTCACATGACCTGCAGGTTTATGGCATTGTTGTGACTATCCTTCTATGCTTCATCGTGTTTGGCGGTGTGAAGATGATCAATCGTGTTGCACCTGCTTTCCTCGTGCCTGTTTTGCTCTCAATCTTCTGCATATTTATTGGATTCTTTTCGGCAAGGACGGATTATCCTGATAGTAAGTCGTTTTTTTGTTATTGTAGTTGGAAAAGGCATGAAGGTTCTTCATTCCATTTAGATTGACCTTCCGTTTTTCATCTTGTCGGTATTATTTATACAGCTGGAGTTACTGGCTTGAGTTTGAAAAGCTTCAAGGACAACTGGAGTTCTGCATATCAGATGACAAATGATGCGGGGATTCCTGATCCAAATGGAAGCACGTACTGGAACTTCAAGTAAGTCTCTTCTCTCTGTTAAACTGTCCATGAAAATTATTCTCTTTAATGGTTCCAGTTTTGTTTAAGAGTTTGGTTCTTTCATTCGTTCTCTAAAACTTATTGATCCTTCTCTTGGCATTCAGTGCCTTGGTTGGCCTATTTTTCCCAGCTGTTACAGGAATCATGGCAGGATCAAATCGATCTGCCTCACTCAAAGACACCCAGAGATCTATCCCTGTCGGGACATTGGCTGCCACTCTGACTACTACTTCACTGTATCTGATCTCTGTGTTCTTTTTTGGAGCTGTTGTGACGCGTGACAAACTTTTGACCGATAGGTAATGACATTTTTCAAATTGATTTGTTATGTTTTCTCTTGGCGGAGGTGTCCTGGATACAATGCCGAACTCACTTGTCAATTGCGGTTATTGTCCATTGCATGTTAAACTTGAAAGAGACTAAAAGTTGCTGTATGATCTGTATTACACAAAACATTTTAGTGTCTGCAAAAGTCGTACTTTTCTTCTATTAATATTCCGAATGGTTCTTCCAGGTTTATTTCCGGACATCTATTTTAGCGCTTTTGTACCCTGCATATATCATTATACATTTTTTTATTACTGAATGAATAAACTTCATCTCTCTTTCAGGTTGCTTACCGCTACAATTGCTTGGCCTTTCCCAGCAATTGTTCAGATAGGAATCATCCTTTCAACCTTAGGGGCTGCGCTTCAGAGTTTGACGGGGGCACCACGGTTGCTCGCTGCCATAGCCAACGATGATATCCTTCCTATCCTGAACTATTTCAAAGTTGCTGATGGCAGCGAACCCCACATTGCGACGCTTTTCACAGCATTCATCTGCATCGGATGCGTCGTTATCGGAAATCTGGATCTCATCACACCCACAGTAACTATGTTTTTCCTCTTGTGTTATGCGGGAGTAAACTTGTCTTGTTTCCTTCTCGATCTTTTAGATGCACCAAGTTGGCGTCCTCGGTGGAAATACCACCACTGGAGCCTCTCTTTTGTTGGAGCCTCACTTTGCATCGGTATGATATATGAATTACTCACACTAGGTTTTAATATATGCTTATCTTTAAGCCCTTCATATGTATGATTCCACCACCTAATTGAAATTTCCTGAGGACTAGGATATGCCTTTTAAGATTTCTTATCGACCGATCATCTGTTTATGTTTTTTGTTGCAGTGATCATGTTCTTGATTTCTTGGTCATTCACTGTGATTGCCCTTGCACTTGCTGGCCTCATATACAAATATGTTGGCCTCAAAGGAAAAGCCGGGGACTGGGGTGACGGGGTCAAGAGTGCATATTTTCAGTTGGCCCTTCGTAGTCTCAGGTCACTTGGAGGTATGTTTGCGTTTATATTACTCGAAACTAAGAGATTACATTCTGTTGTTTCGGTTTTGGGTTGAAATTTATTTGATGAAAACTGTTATTCCTTCAGAAGTTTAATCCCTGTCTTAAAACCGATCTCATTGTTCATCTTACGTCTCGTTTTGTAGCAAACCAAGTTCACCCGAAGAACTGGTACCCAATTCCTCTCGTGTTCTGCCGACCTTGGGGAAAGCTTCCGGAAAATGTTCCTTGTCATCCGAAGCTCGCTGACTTTGCAAACTGTATGAAGAAAAAAGGCCGTGGAATGTCGATATTCGTCTCGATACTAGACGGTGACTACCATGAACGTGCTGAAGACGCAAAGGAGGCCTGCAAACAACTGGCCACATATATAGAATACAAGCGGTGTGAAGGTGTGGCAGAAATTGTTGTGGCCCCGAACATGACGGAAGGGTTCCGGGGCATAATTCAGACAATGGGTCTCGGAAACCTCAAACCGAACATTGTAGTAATGAGGTACCCCGAGATCTGGCGCCGGGAAAACCTAACCGAGATCCCCACAACCTTTGTCGGGATAATCAACGACTGCATCGTGGCGAACAAAGCGGTGGTTATTGTCAAGGGACTTGACGAGTGGCCGAACGAGTACCAGCGACAGTACGGAACGATCGACTTGTACTGGATCGTGAGAGACGGAGGCCTCATGCTTCTTCTCTCGCAGCTTCTCCTGACGAAAGAAAGCTTCGAGAGCTGCAAAATCCAACTCTTCTGCATCGCGGAGGAAGATTCGGACGCAGAAGCGCTCAAAGCCGACGTGAAGAAGTTCTTGTACGATCTCAGAATGCATGCGGAAGTAATCGTGGTATCGATGAAATCATGGGAGGTAGGAACGGAGGGAAACAGCCAGGACGATTCGTTGGAAGCCTTCAGCTCGGCCCAGAGACGGATCTCGGAGTACTTAGCCGAGATCAAGCGGGAAGGACCGGTTCCGAACGAGAAACCCGTGGCGGTGAACGAGAATCAGGTGGAGAAGTTTCTGTACACGATGTTTTCCGATCTATAAAGAGGCTTTGCTCACTAGACTTACATCCGCCGCCGCCGGCGAACCATCCGGCGTATTTCTACATGGAATATATGGATTTGCTCGTGGAGAATGTTCCGAGGATGTTGATCGTAAGAGGGTATCACCGAGATGTTGTAACGTTGTTCACTTAGTCTCCATCTCTCTCCCATCTATATAATACACTCAGGTATATATATATATATATATATATCTCGGTTTCTTTTCTTCTTTTTTTTCCGTTTTGTAGTGGAGATATGATTCAAATTTTGTAATGAAATGTTGTGGATTTTGTTTTTTTTTTTGGTTGCTTCACTTTCTCTGTTTCTTGCAGAGAAATAGAGTATTTGACATTGTAGCATTGATTCCCGAGCTCAGTTTCCCTTGAATGGATTTTGGGGCTTATTTAGGGGCGATCATTTGGGACCGGTTTGGCTTTGGTTCGGTTATTTTTGGTTTTGGATTATTTATATCGTTTAGTTTTTATATCGGTTTTGATTCGGTTTCAATTCTGTTTGCTTTTTGATATTCATTTTTTCCTCTCTTTCTCTCATCTTTCCATTTATCCGCATACTTTTTTTTATTTCCCTTCATAACTTTTAATTTTTTTTTTTTTTTTTTTTTTTTTTTTTTGTAATAAAAGTGTTTATTTTTTTGTTTCAATTTGATTTCTCCATTTTTTTTAATATTTGGTTTGTTTAGATTCGATTAATTTGATTTCGTGAGGATTGTCTGTAGTAGGACTTTTTAAATAGCGTTTGCTTGGGATAATTAGATGTTATTCGGTTCAGTTAGTTTTCTTTAGGGATTATGCGTCCAAATCGAAATGGATTTCCCAAAATATGTGATATGTTATTACTCTATTATATTTTTTCCTTCTCTAAGAGTTATTCATGTATTTTTTCACAGCTGGTTTGGAAGGTTTTCTTAAGAGTTTGTTGACCTTAATTATCTGAAGAAATTAAGGGGTTTGTTTAGATTAATTGGGCATAAAATCATTCTTTTACGAGAAAATCACATATGAATAATTAATGTTTTACAAAAATCCCACGTATAGATATTATAAATTTTTTATATAAATACCTGAATTTTTTTAAAATTCTACATAAATACTTAAATTTTTAAAAAACTCTCCAATAAATCCAAAACCTATTAATAACATCATCTATTTTTGTTTAAAAAAAATATCTGAAATTTGTATTTATTTAAAACTTTTTTTTCAAAAATCTAAGTATTTATATAGGATTTTTAAAAGTTTAGATGTTTATATGAAAATTTTATAATTTAAGTATTTATGTAGTATTTTCATAAAAATTTAGGTATTTATATGTTATTTTTCTATCTTTTAAAATTAGACATAGGAATCATATGTTAGAGCTAGACTCTTATCATAAAAACGTGTGATGTCAAAATGAGTGTATCTCTCAAATGAGTTCATATTTTCTGAGTAAGACTTGAAAATTCGAGTCCAAAAAAACAGGTCGAACGAATCTAGTTGAGTTCATCGAAATAGTTTGTGAACTTATAAAAAAATATATATTTAAATTTTTTTTATTATTTCAAATATTTTTTATTATATTTATATTTTTTATTTTTTTATTTAACTCGTAAGATAAGACGATTTGGAATGAATTAGAATTGTTTTAGCTCTAAAAAAATGACCACACTTAAGTTCGAAACAATCTAGATTGAATATATAAGTAAAATATAACCAATTCCGCAATTAATTGCATGTATGTGAAATATCTCAAAGAATAAAGTTCTTTTGGTTTCTAAAAATATTATTTAAAATTATATTTATCTTTTGAATTAGTTTTTTTAACGAATTTTTTAAACAAATAAAATGTGTGAAACATTTGGCTATTTAGGATTTATTTTTTGTTTTCCATTTTGTTTTTCCGTCCCTCGAATTCAGATAAATACAGATGGAACAGTTCGTGTCTGAATAGCGAGCCCATCCATTACCAATCGATCTAAACCCAAGACCGTTTCCGTGGAAGCAAACGCGCTAAAAACCCTACGCGCACCAGTGGCGCGTGGAAGTCACCGCCCCAATTTTCCCACCCTATAGTCCGGGGATTTTGACCTTTTTCCTAAAATCGGACTTTCTCGGCGCGTGGGGCTATTTAACACTTTTGAGAAGGATCTGCATCGCGAGAGATCATGAAAACATCTAAAAAAAAAATGGATTCAACACCTTAAAAAAATCGATTTAATAATTAAGCTATTATATTGGATCGAAAAATTCAAGAATTTGATAATTTTATATGCATTTTATAATTTTAAAAAACGCTTAGGTTTTGAACCCTGAGATCCAAGACTTATATATGGAATATTAAGGATAAGATTTGATTATTTAACAAATACAGACGTAATTTTAAACGAACAATTTTTTTCTTAACATTCTCCTGTATTTATCATTTACTATATTTAATAAAAAAAATATTTTTAATTAGCTATTTATAAATAAACTAAATAATTAACTAACTAACTAACTGGCTATTTTAGTGGGATACTAAAACCTCTGTGTCCTTATCGTATCTGTCATGATAGACTTTTTCAATTTGTTTTTATTGGAAATGGATTCGCAGAGTTTTTACATTCGAAAGTGCTGTTTATACATCAAACCCTAATCCAATCCCTCTTACTTGCGCCGCAAGGCAACTGAATAGACCATGGCGGACGACGGCGGAGGAGGCGGAGGGTGCAGCAGATTCTGCCGGAAAGAGGATTTCTTGCCGGAGGAGTCGTTCCGAGACTGGGGAACCTACAAAAAAGCCTTGTCGGAGACCAAAACTCGATTCAAGGATCGGGTTCTCACACGATCTCAGGACAGTTTCGAGCTCCATGAGATGCGTGGTCGGAGCCAGCACGAGATGAAGAAAGCCCTCAACTGGTGGGACCTCACATGGTTCGGTATCGGCGCTGTCATGGGCGCCGGAATCTTCGTCCTTACCGGAGAAACCGCTCGGAACAACTCTGGCCCCGCTGTCGTTCTCTCTTACCTCATCTCGGGTAATAATCTCAAGAAACGAGCCAGGCTCACGAGCCAACTCGATTTCACCCTGTTTTTAGGCAACCGAGTAAGGATTTTTCTGATCCATTTTAAAAACGGGTTCATGGGTCAACTCGTCACGAGTTTTTTTATGGCTCGTCATAAACGGGCGCTCGTGCCGGACTGGTTCCAACTGGTTCATATGACATCCGCGTTTTCTATTTTTTTCTAATACCCTTCAAAGTTTGGATCTTTTTTTTTTTTTTTGCCGATTTCGCAAATTCAGATCGATGAAACCATTCTGCAAAAACTGAGAAACATGATCTGTTTCTGCAGGCATCTCTGCATTGTTATCCGTCTTGTGCTACACTGAATTCTCGGTTGAGCTTCCCGTGGCCGGAGGCTCATTCTCATACCTTCGTGTCGAGCTCGGGGACTTCGTGGCTTACATCGCCGCCGGAAACATCCTTTTCGAGTACATTGTCGCCGGAGCAAGCGTTGCAAGATCATGGACTTCCTATTTCGCCACTCTCTGCAATCACAGCCCTAATGATTTCCGAATCACAGTCTCTTCCTTTGCTGAAGACTACAGTCACTTGGATCCAATTGCAATCATCATCTCTGTGATTGTATGTGTCGGGGCTTGCCTCAGCATCAAGGGCTCGTCCCGGTTCAATTATGTCGCCACAATCCTCCACATCGCGGTGGTTCTATTCATCCTCGTTGCGGGTTTGACTAAGGCAGACCTGCATAACTTTACCGAGAACTTTGCACCTTTTGGAGTCAAGGGAATTCTGCAGGCTTCTGCCATTCTGTTCTTCGCGTACATCGGGTTTGATGGAGTGGCGACTCTAGGAGAAGAAGTGAAGAATCCGAAGAGGGATATACCGATTGGGATGATCAGTTCAATGACGATAACAATCGTTGTATACTGCGTCTTGGCTGCGACCCTGTGCCTGATGCAGCCTTATACTCAGATTGATGTGGACGCACCGTTCAGTATGGCGTTTCAAGCCGTCGGGATGGGATGGGCTAAGTATGTTGTGGCTCTGGGTGCGCTCAAGGGCATGACCACTGTGCTTCTGGCTAATGTCTTGGCTCAGGCTAGGTACTTCACCCACATCGGTCGAACCCACATGGCTCCGCCTTTCCTTGCAGCCGTCAACGAGAAAACAGGCATGCCTGTGAATGCCACCATTGTCATGACCGCAGCCAACTGTGTGGTAGCACTCTTCACGAGCCTTGACGTGCTTGCTAACCTCCTCTCCATCTCAACCCTGTTTGTCTTCTCGGTTGTGGCCCTGGCCTTGCTAGTCAGGCGCTATTATGTCACAGGAGAAACTTCTGATTCAGACAGGAACAAGCTCATCGCGTTCTTGGCAGTGATTGTGGGATCATCCATTGCATCCGCAGCCTACTGGGCCATAACAGGAGGCAAAACATGGGTCGGATATGCGGTGACTGTTCCCGTTTGGTTTCTGGCGACATTAGGGCTGAACCTGACATTGAAACAAGCAAGGAGTCCAAAGTTCTGGGGCGTACCTTTAGTTCCATGGCTGCCATCTGTTTCCATCGCCATCAATGTCTTCATATTAGGATCAATCGACGGCCCTTCCTTCGTCAGATTCATGATCTGGACATTCGCTCTTCTTGTCTACTACTTCTTCGTGGTCCTGCATGCATCATATGACGCAGCAAAAGAGATCGCTACAGCAGCAGCGGCAGCCAACATAGAAGCGGGGGTTACAGACAAATAATTGCCACAAGTAACAAGATTCTGGGAACTCATCTTCTCTTGCATTTGACAAGGTTCAGAGACATGTCTTTTTTTTATCCTTTTTTTTTTTTGGGAGAAAGAACTCTTATTTTCCTGTTATTTAACGTTAAAGACCAAAGAAATTATGAGAAAACCAGTGAGGCAATGAAGACATAAACTGAAAAACAGAAGTGAACTTAGATTACGGACCCTAGTGTTCATACATGGGTTCCCAATTGAATAGTCTAATTCACACATCATATCAGAAAGAAGTAAACAAATAAGAGGAGTGAATGCAGAAACAAACCAAGAACCGGAGAAATGCCCGTATGCAGGGTGACTCTAGGTTCCTATATGCGGATAGTTTATGCATCGATTTTGAGTAGTGAATTAAGGGAAGTGCTGTTGAATTTCTGTGCAAGGCCGCGTATAACTAGCACGATGACATCGCGGAGGTGACGTGAATGGACCACCACGTCTACTTCACTCTCACTGTCCACAACAATCCTAAGCCGTCTTTGGTCATTCCGGAATGTCTCAACCTGTTTGATGCAAATAATAGCAGGTCACAACCCGGGAGGGACCTAAGGATGACAAACCGGATGAAAATATGTTTAATGAGGAGGATTTCATATCTTGCTTCAGCAAAGGACTCCGTGTTTCATGGTTCTTTTTTTTACTAAAAGAGAATAAAAGTGAAATAAAGAGGCTTTGCTCACTAGACTTACATGGAAAGGAGGAGCGAAACTCCCACGAACTTCAGTTGTTGGGAAAGATGTCTTGGAACCTGGTTTCACTACCTTTATTCTCTTCCTGTTAACTTCTAGTATTCGTCTCTCAAGATTTCCCTCTCCCAGGACCTACACATGAGCAATTTGCCCTTTAGAAACCCGATACACAAAAAAAAAAGGATTAATAAGATCAGAAAACTGAAATACAAACCTTTTTTAGATAAGGGTCCTTGTCACACAGCACCTGATTCCAATGTTCGGGAAGAAAAAGATTGAGCCATACCGAAAGAAAGATAGTTTGATCATATATTACAGAAACAGCATGAAAGATTATTCAAAGAATGTAAAATGCTTATAACTTTAGATCAAACATACAGCTACACTGTGAAAGTTAGGATATAAATGAATGAAATCTATAGATCAAAGAAAACATAAAAGGACGTGATTCTACCTCAAACTTCACTGACCCAACATCTAGTTTTTGCTTCACTTCCTTATGAATATCAGGTTCTGCAAATTGTTAATTACAGTGAATTAACATATGAAACGAAAAGACAAAAAAAAACCCATCAAGGCAGAAGGCAAAGGAGGCTCCTCAAAACAACACTGGGAAATAGTTGCATAGGGAGACTTGATGAGAATTGTTATTTGTTGGTTATATTTAATTTCACCAAATTATAGCAGTATCAACAACAGATAATCATGATGGTGGCGATGATAAAGTAAAAGACTTGCCAACAGCAACAGGCTCTGTTGATGCAGAAACTGGGTGCCCTTCAGTGCCATCGTCTCGTATGGGCGTATAGACAACGACCAGTCTGTAGCCAACATCATCCACATTAGCCTCATACATCCTTCCTGTCTCGCCTACAGAATAATGGAACAAGATGAAGCAAATATGAGAAACAATATGTGTTAATACTAGTCCAGATTAACCAAAAATTAGGACTTTTGCATGAACGGTTTAGTAAATCTAGCGAAATTATATACTTAAGTAGAAAACTTAAACCTGATCTTGAAAATAGTACGCACAAATTTAGTAAGAGTTCAACAAGAAAACTGCTCCAGTTAGAAGACAAATATCAGAATAAGCACTAAACTTTCAGGATATAACTAGATAGGTAAGATTGGATATCAAGAGAAAAATAGATCCCCACATGAAAATTGTACGATTGTGTCAAGGATAACATCTAGCTCATCAATAAGTAATATCCTCAATCTAATTAATTCGATATGCAAAAGTTGGTCCAACTTTTGTGGGAAAAACTTTTTACACAAACAAAATGGCTATACCCATTATGGAAGTTTGAAAGGAGAACGAGTTTAGGGCAAAGGTTTCAACAATAAGCCATTGAATTTTACACTTTCCCTCTTTTCCACCAAAATAATTGCCACGAACTGCATATAAGTTGGTGTGGAAACCCCTTCCTTCAATCTCCAGCTTTTCTATCCTTGGAAAACCTGAAACATACAACATATTATATCATGCCATCTTTATATAGGACACTGGGAAATTTGGCGGTGCCTTCATTTCCCAAGGGAACATGGGTCGAGATGCACAGGCAACTGAAATGGAAGGAAACCTGGCGAAACAGAAGCAGTCTCGGCATAAGCTGGCTCACTTGACCTCCCAAATACATCGTGTACTACACATTCACATTTCAGACATCTGCCAATATCTTCAAACTGCACCTTATAGGAACATGAACGTTTAGAAGAGAGAGCTTCAAAAGATTCCTCTTCCCCCGATTCCAATGAGCGGAACCTGTAGCACCTCTTATAATGTGAGATATAGAACAGTTTCTGAAAAACGAGAATTACTCCAGAACACCATGAGTTCTTCAGGTAGAAAATCATATAAATTCCTCAGGAAGCTAACACGTGTGAACGCAACTTCTTCCACGGAAAGCATACTAAGACTTGGCACAGAACGCAACTTCTTCCACGTGTGAACATGAAATACTCATATTTCCAAAAACTTAAAAACCACTCATGCAAATATTTAGCCAACGATGCAAGATCAAAGTCAGATGCACTGTACCATTGGTATTTGATGCCTCTCTTATACTTGCTCCAAACAAGTTGTTGGATTCCAGTCTTTGTGATCACTTCAACGGCAGTGAGAACATCGCCTTCTACAGCCTTCCCGGTAAGAGCAAGCATGTCTACTTTTGGTACCTCTGCATGATGATCAAATGAGTTCGAGTTGTGTTACATGGAGAAGCTCAAAACGAACATGAACCAGTCTAAAAGGGTAAGAAAGCAAGAAAGCCCAAGATACAATAGATGGTACAAACAGAGTAGAGTTTTTGAACAAATTTTATGGAAAATAAATATCCAAGGCATAAAGATTCATCAGTGATAAAACAGCCAAAAGTTCAAAACCTGGGAGGATAACATCAGTTGGCTCAGATAATTTTAGTTCTCCCACTGCTGAATCTGAACGGACAGGTGTATATCTGCAAAATAATTTGAATAAATTATAAGATTCAAACTCGCATAAAAACCTTAATGGACAGTGTTTCAAGGAAGAAACTAATGCATGAGTAAGCACATCACCAGGAACTTTGAAAACATAAATTTTCCAGGGCTCTGATACCTAAATAACATAAACCAGAGTTTCTTGCAGGATCGAGAGCCAAAAGCAAAAGTCAAAAGACTCAAATCCAAAGGCTACTTAGTGTCTAAACAGCTACTGCAAGAGGAGTATGTCAAAGTCATTCCAGAGGAAACATACCCAAAGAGTAGCCGGCAATTGTAATCTGACTCAGTCACCTCATAAGCTTTGGAGTTGGCCCCATCAATTAGATTGATGGTTCCATCATTAGTTTCTCTGTACCAACTAAAGAGACTTGCACCTTCATAGCCACCAGAATACTCCCCTTCTCCAGAATAGGCATCCGAAGAAATTTGCTTAACATGGACATTAGATATTACTGGATCAGCTGCAACATTAACCACGTTATTCCATCAGAAACATAGGTTTTCATATCTTGACTAAATCCTATGCCCTTAAAACAAAATGGAAAACACTTGTTTTATGGAGGTTACAAATTACCATGTAATCACGAGGTGCAATTTCATGAACTGCATCAAGTGATGGGTAGCATAAAAAAATACAGATAACTGATATGCGTAGATTGACGTGAACAACGATTGTCTGGCTACTAGTAATTGATCCTCTCCTTGACTGCTAAAGGTCTGGATTTACATGCACAATTCTACGTGTAGAGTCCAGTTCTTCATGTTCCATTGGACTTTTACTGTTTTACACTAATTATCAACAATAACAACAACATCGCCTTAATCCCAAGTTTATTTGGGGTCGGCAGCATAAATTCTTCTTTTCCATTCATTCCGGTTTTGCGTCATATTCTCCGATATTTGCAACATATCCAAGTCATTTCTAATGACTCGTTCCCAAGTAAGTCTAGGCCTACCCCTTCCTCGTTTTTTACACTAATTATCATGTAAAAAAAAGGTTGATGAAATCATTACCTGGGGCAACTGGGGAGTTTGAAATTGATACTACTGGCTGCCCATGTCTTCCATCTGAGCGAGTAGGTATCCAATACAAGACTAGATAAGACCCCACATCTTCAAGTGATGGAGTATATTTTCTGCAACAGCATCATATCATTCGCATTTCTCACAAAAATAGGAAGAAAATCACATCATGTTTCTGGGATTTCAGTTCTTACAATTCCTTACAGCAAACAACGACATCTTCACTAGCAAAGGATATTTCCAAGAGTGCAGATCCATGCAACTTATCGCTAGTTCTATACCATATGTACTCTCCAACACCTTCGTGTCCACCAAAATAGGTTTTATGTGGCACAACCTCTTGTTTCTCACAACAGTCCGGAATAATAAGCTCCAGCCCCATAGGATTTGCTGTTAAAAAAGTAAAAAAATGGAAGGATATTAGATATGTAGAAAACAGAGCCCAAACTCTGTCCTCGTCCATGGGAGTCTACGGTAAAATCTTACAGTTAAAAGATAGAAATTACATAAGCGATTTTAGTGATAGAAGTTGCTAATACATTTCCAGATATGGAAAGAGACAAACATTTGCCATGCATAATGTAGCAGTTAGGCCACATCTTTCTCATCTTTTACATATTTGTATTTTTAGAATTGTTGAAATGAAATGTCTATTCTTTTAATAGAAAGGGATATTTTACAGAAGAAAACTCACCAGGAGCAATTTCATCTGACACAATGCTTCTAGGATTGCCTTCTATTCCATCCTCCCGGACAGGAGTGTAGACAAGTTCAATGCTCTTCCCAACATCCTCAAGAGACAAATCCAAAAATTCTGCTCAGATAAAATGTTAATTAGTTAGAAGCGGATTTCTAAGGGAAAAGCAAGAACCTAAACAAAACAGCTACACAAAAAGAAAAGGGATCAAACTCACCATCACAACTCAATTTCTCCTTAACATCATTATCTTTTACCCTAAACCATTCATGTTGACAATTCCCCTTTATCCTGCATTGGAAGATGCTAATTTAGTCGTAGAGCAGTAACATAAGAGACTCAAGCTACTCCCTTATTTGACATCTTATATGTTTTCAACAAGTTTTAAGTGTATATCAAACCCAAATTCCTCGAGCACTTACCCTCCAGTATATGAAGCAACAAAGCTCAAGCGTTGCCCTTCAATCATTGATCCGAGAAACTCCAGTGACTGACAAGTAGGGGGGCCTGCACCACGAAATGGATCAGAAGATGAGCCCATCTAACACCAGTCATCCTCTCATGGAGATTCTACAAGAGTCGGTAATAAATAAACAAAAGAAATATTGATTAAGAAACAATTTTACCAGATATGATTGGTCCAATTAGCTCGGAAAGAACTATGGGCCCACGAGCCCAGTCACTTCTGACGGGTTCACATGAAACCGAAACGAAGCGACCTATATCATCCACACATACTTGATATGATGAGGTAGTGGCACCTTTGATTTCGTACGGTGAGCCATCTGAACTAGTCTGTAGAGAAAAAGTTCACTTATTAAAACACCAAACTGAAAAGAACAAGAAAAAATCATGTTGGTTGCTCGACCGTAGAGTAAGATTATATTGGCTCTCAATGGTTTCGAAGCATGCATGAGCCCACCCATGAAGAAATGAACAGCCTTCCTAAATGGTTTTGAAAATTAAGAAATATGAAGTCCAATACCCGAAACCACCGGAAAACCGATGCTCCTTCTTCACCACCCCAATATTCTTTTTCTGCAGACAGCATTGTCCCTTCAACAGCAGCTCCAACAATTCGAAGAGACACCACTCTTGGGCTTCCTAATAATCATGCATAACTCCGCATGATAAGCAAACTTGCATCCACATATAAGTGTGAACCAAACAGTATAATGGGCAACTAATTTAGAGTGATCTTTTGCTAATTTAGAGTGATCAATTAAAAATCTCCTTCCTTTCATCTTATTTCCATAACTTCTTTCCTACTATGAATCACCCTGGTCTCCCAGCCTTCAATTATAACTAGGATTTTCTAATCTGCTTAGGATGCAGGATCAAAGTTTGGAAATCAAACAGATTTGCATCAAACAAGTCGCGTTATAAATTTGCAGCTTGAATACCAATGCAGTATCACACACATTGCAGCGGAATGGAATAGATCAGACCAGTATGAAACAGTAAAAAGGCAATAGTTACAAAGAATAAAGACAAACAACTCGCAAGAAGTCATCTGAGTAGAAACAAGACCATGATGTAAAAATGTCATTTCTTCAGTGGAAAAGAAGGCAATTTCTGATCTATGATTTCAACAAAAGCATAAATAAAACGATTATTGAACACAGACGAGGCTGAATAACGAGAATGATTTCTTGTTGTGTAAAAGAAATTAGGTTATCCTGTTAGGGGACAATGATACTTCAAATGGTAATTTGTGGGATCAGAAACACCTAGTGATACATAGTTCATAGTTGGCTCCTACCTAGAGGTTCACACATATTGAAAACAAAATTACAAAACTAGAAACAACAAGACAACACATCACCTGGACGAATACGCTCCTGGCCCATGCAAGATCTTGGCTCACCCTTGAAACCATCATATCGGATGGGAATACATTGAAAGGAAATGAATTTACCAATATCTTCTTTTGTAATGGTATACTGAAGAACCCCAGAGGCCACAGGTATCAATGTACCAGGGCCACTTTCTGCCTGCGAAATTCAAAGAATTAGATAGCAATTAGCTGCGATGAAATCTCCCGGCACGAGGTAAATTTTATTAACCAGCTGTTTACATCTAATATAGGTTTTTGTTCTTTGCGGAAAGAACTTTGTTCATATATAAACAGAACATCGACAACAAGACATTATGTAGTGGCTAGACTGAACAGAGGATCCAGAAAGCAAGTATTCCAATCCAATCTCAGATGTTATAAAGAACAGGCTTCAAGGATATACCTCATGATGATACCATTTATACATGCTTTTTCCTTCATGCCCTCCTATGTATCCATAGGATGCTGTCAATACTCCTCCTTCAATGTTATCCCCAGTAATTGACAGGAAATTCAAGCTGGGAGGAAGGGCTGTAAGTGATGAGAATCAAAAGAGTATGCACGAAATCAGTAAAGGTTCAACAGGATAACCATTACAATTCAAATTCAAAACAAATTAACATCGCAAATATCAGAATAAGAAGTACACTTTGAGGATATAACTAGATAGGTAAGATTGGATACCAAGAGAAAATTAGATATCCAACATGAAAAATGTGCAATTGTGCCGAGAGTAATATCTAGCTCCTAAGTAAGTCATATACGTGATCTAGTTGATTCAATAAGTAATATCCATGGTCTAATCGATTCAATCGAGAAACGTTGATTCAATGTTTCTAGGAAAGCCTATTACACAAACATAAAATCCCCATTATGAAAGTTGACAGGAGAATGTTTGTAGGACAAAGGTTTCAGAGTAACTATTAAGTATCAAAATGGAACCAATAGCAAGATTTGAGTTGCAAAACCACATGACAGTCATTCTATACCAGATCAGACAAAAATTTCAACATTTAAACCATCTTTTAGGATGGGCATGGTAAACAAAGGAAAAGGAGGATGCGTGATTAGAATGAAAAAAGTTTATTGCATTTATATAACTATCAACACCAGAAAAAGAAAATGCACGAGTACAGAAATGAAGAAGAGACTGCTAACTTACTTTCAACCGCTCT